GTCACCCGTGTTCTTTCCTCATGTCCCTTTGCTCTTGGAGTCCTTTTCTCCTTCTCCTCATCCCACGTGAAAGTCAAAGGCAAACCCCACCCACGGCTAAGAGGTCGGGCACGGAACACATCAGATCAAAGGAAGGGGCTGTGATGCCGGGTCCTGTCGCTGTCGGGGTCCCCGAGTTGACGCGGGTGACTCAGCTTTACCAGAGAGGACTGAGCTCGGCAGGGATGCGCTAGCTGTCAGCTTGCTGCTGAGTCGACCGCCATCACGGTGGCCCAGCCTGTGCAGAGTGTAACCATGTCGCGTGGGGTTTCCAGGGCTGGGCCCTTTCAGCGGCAGCCTCCGGGCCTGTCTTCAAAGGAGCCTCGGTGGGTTTGAACCGTCAGCACTTGGGCTGGTAGTCAAGCATTTAACCATTTCTGCCTCCCAGTTAATTTAAGCTTGGCTGTTGATGAACACGTTTTTATAGGTCTGCACTTGGATAAGGCTTGTGACTCTGGCTTGACTACTCTGGTTACATAAAAGCCGTGCAGTACCACCCGACACATTTCAGACAGAACCACGTTTACTATCTCACTCACCTCTCACAGCCGCTCAGGTGATCATGTTCTCTCAGAAGTGGTTTCAGACTCAATCTTTTTCTTCCACTCACTGTAACTGAGAGGGGCACCCTGCTGTCCCTGACAGGGGCAGTGATTACAACAATGATGACCGTGACAATGATCATGACCGACGGGACCTGAGGTGACATGGCCAGCCGCCCACGTGGAAACTTCTCTGGTTGAACATCTCCTACAAATGTCCTTCTCCACCCATTCTGGAGACCCTCCAAGATGGCCGGTGGACTAACCCCATGGCACCAAATGGACGGTGTGGCTCAAGAAGCGCCTCTCACGGGCTGCAGACGCCCTGGTGGCCTCTCCTTGGTTCTAGGGAGGAGCCCAGGCAGTGGGTCCAACTTCCTTTCCTGAGTCCTTTCCTCTCCGGGTGTCTTCTCAAGTGGTACTCTACTTTTGTCGTCCTTCATGCACAGCTACTAAGTCAGTTCCTGCTGGTAGTAGCAATGAGTGGGAGTGTGGTGTTACACCCTGACTGCTCAGTAAGCAGAGAATCTAACAGCTTCGTCTTGGTGTTGGCTTGTCGGTTAGCCTGTTGGTGAGCTCCAATCAGTTCAGAACATACTTTATGTTCAGTGGACAGGAAACCATCTCTCAGAGATCTTACTGGTGATGCTGTGTTTCTGGGTGCAGCTTTGCGTTCTGGCTGATTGGGGACCGAAGCTACAAGCTCTCCATGTGTCTGTGGGCTGTCATTCAGAAAAGCTGTTCTTTGTTTTGTGAGTCTGAGGGTCCTATTTTTGGAAGGTGTTGATCAATTATTACCACCCTCAAACTAGAGTTAGTTCTTTAGTCTATATTTACTTCTTGTTTCATAGACATGAAAAGGCACTTACACTGTAGCTGTTAGGTGCTGTCAGGTTGTTTCTGACAGTAACCCTCGCCTGAGTCAGCTATAGGCAGAGCCGACTCCACAGCATCTAACAACAGTAACACAGCGGCCCTGTGCACAACGGAAGGACACGGTGCCCGGCCTGCACCATCCTCACAGGCCTCGCTACGCTTCAATGTTGCAGCCACCGTGTCGTGTCAGTCTGTCTTGTTGATGGCCTTCCACTTTTCCTCTGACCCTCGGCTTTACCAAGCGTGACGTCCTTCTCCAGGGACCTGTCTGTGTTGGCAACATGTCCAAAGCACATGAGATGAAATGTCACCATCCCTGCTCCTAGGCAGCACCAGAGTGCACTTCTTCGTTTCTCTGACCGTCTAACGTAACTGAACACCGTAACTCAAAGGCATCAACTCTTCTCAGGTCTTCCTCATTCACCGCCCAGCTTCTGTGTGAGTTTACAAAGCAACTGAAAATACTACAACTTGGGCCAGGTGCACGTTCGTCCTCAAGGTGACATCTTTGCGTGTGACACTTTCAAGAGGTGTTTTGCAGTGGATTTGCCCTATTCAGTGTGTTTGATTTCTTGACTGCTGCTTCCATGGGCCTTGATTATGGATCCAAGTAAAAGGAAATCCTTGCCTTCAATCTTTTCTCCATTTATCAATGCTTACTGGTCCGGTTGTGAGGATTTTGATTTTCTTTATGTTGAGGTGTGATCCATGCTAGGCACTTATATAAAGCTAATATTCCAAAATTCCCAATAAATTAAGAAATTAAACTTTTAATAGTTTAAACATGCGAGGGCAATAAATTATTTCTCAGGAAACTGCTGGCTCACAATCATTTTACAAAAATATCTAAATTCACAGAGTTAAGGACAATCATTGGACCAATTACGTTAATAACTTTGGTCTAAAAAAGGAATCATAATAGCAGTATGTATTCCCCTTTAGTTATTATTGTAGACTATAATTTTTTAAAAATTAGATTTGGGTACATTACTCTGAGCTCTCTTTACTTCTTATGCTGGTTTAGGATGATAAGGATGTAAACTTTGTGTTCCTGTAAATGGGAATCGTATCTGACAAGTTTCCTCGTGTAACAGCAAGTGCCTGGAGTGGGCCACCTCCCGGCAGTTTGTGGGCTCCCTGAAACACACTCTAACACTGTTTCTGCAGGTAACTGTTCCCCATCATGGGGAGGATGACTGAGGGAGCCCTGCACGTGAGAGTTTCACCCGAGCGCAGGGAGAGCTCCTTCTCAGGGACGCACACTTCAGTACGTGCTGCCTCACCAACGTCTCTGACACTGTCAGCCTCAGACAACAGGGTGCTGTGCTTGGTAGAGGGAGGAAACCTCGCTGAGGACAGTGTTTTAGGGATTGGATGTAGCATTCTGAAGCCTTCCACAGTCTTTCATAGTCTCAAAACATACAAGAAATCGGACTATCGGACTCAGGGCTTCCAGCCTTCACTAGACTAGACCGGAGAAGGCCAGGCCAAAGGCCAAGAGATATGGTGAGAGTTTTTGTGGTAGTCTAGCTCTGGTAGCGTAGTGCCTAAGGCACTTGACTACTAACCGGAAGTCTGGCGGTTCAAACCCACCAGCCACTCCTCGGAAGGAAGGTTGGGCACTCCTACTTCTGTAGTAATACTGCCTCGGAAACCCAAGGAGGGGTGGCTATGAGTCGGGCCAACTCGACAGAATATAACAACAACAACAGATGGGAAATGATGGGAAACCAAGCAGAGAAGTCCCAGCGTTAACAGAGAAAAGGAGACAGATTGGAGAGATGCACCGTTGGTATGTCCTCCCCGATGTGGTGCATGGGGTTGGAAGAGTACAGGGAACGCCCTGCAAGGCATCCCAGCTTTGAGACTGGCCACGCAGGGTATGACCGTGGCACTGATTCCTGAGTGCATGACGGTGGCACTGATTCCTGCATGAATGGCGGTGCCATGTTCTAAGACAGGAAATATAGAAGGTCCCATAGCATATCCCTGAGGGAGACAAGGAGTCCATTTCTTAACTCATTTCCGGAAATGCTGCCTATTATACTGTGAGATGCTGAGGTAGAAACACCCGGGAGTCAGAGGCAAAGACAGAGGCCGCATGTGAGTAGCTGACAGCTGGGTGATGGACCCCCAATAGTGGGGGACAGAACACCGAGGGATCCAATCGGGAGACTGGGAAGGACATAGAGGCTGTAGGAGGAGGCCCAGCAGAGGACACCCCCAGGGCAAGTGTGAGAGGAAGCATTTCAAGGACAAGTGAGCAACAGTCAAATGCTTCAGAAACAGCACGGTCAGAATTGGGCAGCTCTGTCTAGCCGTGTAGCCCATGACCTCTCATTCAGTAAAGGGATGGATGTTCTTATTGTTGTTGTTATGTGCCGTCAAGCCAAACCTGACTCATAGAGACCCTTCCTTGGGTTTCCGAGGCAGTATCACTACGGAAGTAGATTGCCCAACCTTCCTTCCGAGGAGTGGCTGGTGGGTTTGAACCGCCAGCCGTCTGGTTAGCAGGCAAGTGTCTTAGCCACTATGCTACCAGAATAGGAGCCCAAAGCAAGCAGGCTAAAGACTGGGCATGCAAATGGTTAAGTGCTGAACTACTAACTGGAAGGTGGGTCATTCAAACCCACCCACAGGGCCTTCACCAACCCGGGCCTGGTGGCGTGCTTCTGAAAAGTCGACCTTGAAAACGCTCTGGGCAATTGGCACACACGGGGTCACCCTCCGTCGGAATCCACTGGGCTACTAAGAACCACAAGGGGATGAGAGTGGGCCTGAACACAGTGTAGCGCAGGGCAGGATGGGAGGGCCTGCTAGGGGTCTGACCTCAGATGAAGAGACAGGCAAGTAACTGCGGAGTGGGCTGCCATAGGGGGGTTTCTTTCTTTCTTTTTTTTTTTTAAGATGGAAGAAACTTTAATATACTTATGTCCTAGTAGAATGAGGTTTTCAAATCATAAAATACCTGCCACCGAAGCAGGAGTGAGAGGGAAAGAGGAGAGAAAACAGCAGCCTGTGCACGCAGTGTGCAGGGGGGAGGTGGGGACGGAGGGACCCAGATACACCCTGGAGGTCTGCCTCCTTCTTAACCGGCTCAGCTTCCAGGGGCATCCTTGGGCGGCACCAACAGTTAAGTGCTTGGAGGCTAACTGAACGGCTGGCGGCCTAGTCCACTCAGGCTCTGCTGAAGAAAGGCGTGCACTTCTGAAAACTCAGCCCGGGAAACCCCGTGGGGCCCAGCTCAGCTCTGACACCACAGTGCCTCCAGCAGCAGGAGTTCCCTGGAGACAGACGGCTTGGTGTTCAGTCAGGTTAAAAAGCTCACAAAAACTGGCCTAACCGATTTTACAAGTGAGACCAAAAAAAAAAAAAAAAAAGGCATAGAGTTGTTGTCAGAAACCAGAAGTCTCTACTTTCTGTTTCAGTGATTTGGAATCTTCGTTTGAACAAATAATGAGTATGTTTGATTTTTACCTAATTTACTTGTGCGAACAACTTTAAGGTGTGCGAGGCAAGCTGCAGCTCTGCGGAGATACTCACGATTCTCACGAGCCAGGACAGGGTGGACGTTGCCGTTGAGTAATGTGTGTTGTAGTGGTACGGGGGGCTGTGATCGTCCTCCCACGTCTCGTACCGCTCCGCGTAAAACACAGCTCTCTTAGGGTTCAATGCACCAATTGGCTGTAGAAAGACAAGAATGGTTTTGTTTAATGCGCCCATCAGGCATCATTAGACACTCTGGACGGACGGTGTGGTTTGGGCTTTGCTTCTGTGAAGACTGACAGCCTTGGGGACCCTGTGGGGCAGTTCCACTCTGTCCTCTAGGGGTGCTGTGGGTCAGAATGGACTCCACGGCAGTGGGTGTGGTTTGGGCTTTGCTTCTGTGAAGACTGACAGCCTTGGAGACACTGTAGGGCAGTTCCACTC